ATTTTGGCCGATACCGATATATTTCCTTTTGCTTGGAAACAACACCAAGTCTCTCCTGTGCAGAAATTATAAGCAAAATATTTTTAATTTTGGTTAGTTTTTATCAAGAACTTATTTGTTAGAATTAAATAAACAATAATGAAGGTTTTTTGACAGTACATTGAAAGTTTGAAAATAACTATAAATAAACTATATATCAATCTTACCGAACGGGCATTAGGACCCGGGGGAGGCTGCCGCTGCACATGCTATTACTGTTTACTCTATCACACACCGAACGCATCATTCTGTAAGTGCATTCGTTGTTTCATGAATGAGCCACACTGCTGACATGATCTAATCACTAGCAAACCCTGAGCACATGTGAGTTAATGTATTCCTCTTATTGGTAAGACATATCAGCATAATTTTTCATATCAGGCCGATTCCGATATCAGTCCGATAATATCGTGCATCCCTAATATATATATATATATATACACATACACACACTTTAGAATGTGTGTGTGTTTTTTTTTTTTGACCCTTAATGTAATGGATTTTTTTTCCCCTCCTGCTCCATGGCAAGATGGGTAAATGGGTATGCTAGAAATGTCATGATTAATTCAAATCATCATGACAGAACATGAAGCAGTCAAATGTAGGTTGGAGGACAAAGTCATTTCATGTAAAAAGAAACTAAATCAAAGGCGATCAGCTATCAGATTTTGGTTTGGAAAGAAGTTTCTGATCTATTTTTATACTATGTCCTAACGATGAAATGTTTCCAACATAAAATGATCTTTTCTTCCACACAGTGACAAAATCCAAAAATAATTGGTATTTAAAGGGACAGTTCACCCTAATATGTAAATTGTTCATTTATTCACCCTCATGTTTTTCAAAAATTGTATGATTTCTTTCTTGCATGAAACACAAAAGGAGACATCTAGCAGAGTGTCTGAGCTGCTTTCTTCCAGACAATGAAAGTAAATAGCGAACAAGATTTGTTAAGTACAAAAAAATCATCTTAAATGTAGTCCATATTATTTGTATTAATAAAGCAGCTGTGTTGATATAATTCATTAAAACTTGCTTGACAGCCGTAGAGTCTTTTATAAAGAGCAGTGAGAACATCAGGTTTTGATAGACATGAGGGTGAGTAAATAATGACAGAAGTTTAATTTTTGGATGAATCTGTAAAGAGGAATTTTAGACCAATGAGATTCCGCTGTGGGCGGAGCTACCCTGTGCAACATGACAAAAACAGTAACCAAGAAACTGACTTTATCACACTGCATAGTTAGGACTCTGCTTTCCGTTCTTTCAAAACATACAAGGATTTAATACGACTCTCTTTATCTGACATAGTTTAATTGTTAGTTACACTTTGACCTGAATAAGAATTACTCTTTCGGCACAGTACAATGTGCAAATAATTAACAAAATCATGTTCAATTTCCGCTATCCTCTGTGGATCTCAGCTCCAGTTCACCGGCTGCAAACAATCCAACGATCTGACGGAGACCAGCGGATTAAAATCTAAACATACAATAGATAAAGATAAAGATAAGATAAAGATACAATCATCCTGGAATTAATAAATACGACTCCATTAGGGTCCTCTCAAAGAGGAATTGGTACACAACATGCAAATTAGCCTTCAGTCACGCCGGCCATAATTCCTTAGAGCAATTCTAATCTATTTCTGCTGGGCAGCTACCATTACTATTGTATTTGAGAACAGCGCACATAATTTCCCAGGAGGCCATGCGAGAGCTCTCCACCATCGGTGCGCCGGCGTAATTTAAACACACAGCAGCTGTTCAGTGTGCCGTGTTCAGTCACTGTGTATCCATCTCCTCTGAGCCGCTGTAACACACACGACACATGACTGAACTGAATATTACGAGTCATTAGTCAGTATAGAGCTACTAGTTAATAATAGGATCGTTTTAATTTAGTATTCTACTGGCTCAGCATTTATTACAACAAATAATTGGACATAAAACATTACAGAGGTACTAAAACAGTATATTTATATAGTATATTTATAGCCTAATCCAGAGTTTATAACTGGTTTTCCTTCAGGAAAATAAAATAAACATGCTTTAGAAATATTAAAAAGTAAATACTACTACTACTACTAATAATAATAAAATTAAATTAAGGTATATAAAAAGTAAAATAAGGTTTGGGATTGTATCTTAAACAAAATAAATCTAATAAATAAATAAAACTAATGTAGTAAGTTTTTAAAAAGAACATAGGAAAAAATTATTAAATTATAGCATAAAAGCCATCAAAAATATACATAAATTTAAACATACTATAGAAATATTAAACCCTAACCCTAAAAATAAAATAAAACAGATGGATTTACATGTTTGACATTAGCACACTAAATAAAATTTAATGTAGTATTGGATTGTATATCAAATCAAACAAATAAAGGTAATAAAATATTGTTTAGTGAAAGTGGGCCACCTGTAGGGCTGTGCGATTAATCGGAATCGTCATAAAATCGCGATTTGAGCATGCGCGATTTCTAAATCGCTTTACAGCATGATTTTCCGCGCCCCAGACCTCCCGCAGTATGCTATCAGAACCAATCAGAATGCAGCGCCTAAATGGAGCACGAGAACAGAACAGACCGGGCGGGCATACAAACGTAACGCCAGGTTCAGACAGCGCATTATTCGCGGTAAAAATTAACATGGATTGACACAGAAATTTAGTAATTACCCCATAAATGCATATAATTAAAGTCTAGGCAAAATTGATCAAAGAAATCGCAATAGGTTTTTTTTGTCCATATCCCACAGCCCTAGTCACCTGTTAACATGTGGTACAATTACCGCACACAACCCTCTCTAAACTATGTGTATTTACAATTTATATGCTTGTGTGGGTAAATCACCCATGAAACAAAAATTTGATTAACTGCAAAAGAAAATAGTAACCTTTATATGAGATCTTAGGAAACCAGGGCCATGAAGTCATCATATTGATGTATGTGTGTGTGTGTGTGTGTGTGTGTGTCACTCAACCGCTATCAGACGGGTCTTGTGTCTCTGCCTGCGGTGCTGGTAAATACACTGGCTGAGCACTGAGTAAACTCTCTCCAGATGATCCACACTAAAGCCATCACTTTTCACAACCACCTTCTCCAACAGAGCCTGAAAGACAAGAAAATAAAACACGATTAGACATAATTAATTCTGTCTCAAAAAAAGACATTTCTGTCATCATTTACTCAAGTTAATGTCATTCCAAACCTGTGTAGCGGAAATTTTGAAGACTGTTTTTAAAGCTCTTTTCCATGCAATTTCAATAAACATGGAGTGAAGCTTTCAAACCTCAAAAACAACACAAAATCATCATGAAGGTAGTTTATATGACTCGAGAGCTTATTTCAAGTCATCTGAAGTCATATGACAGCTTTGCGTGAGGAAAAGACTCAAATGAGTTCATAAGAGAAGTTCATGAAAGAATCGTTTGAATTTTTTCAATGAATCATTTAATTAGGTTCATAAAACCAGTGATTCATTTGAATTGGACTGATCTGGTTCTTCAGTTCAACTCACTGATTCCACCCCTTCGCAGTAGTTAACAACAAAATGATCAGTGGAAAACAACTTAATTTTTAATCTGTTTCTACACAAAGCTACAGAAGACTATCAATTTTGATAGTGCTTTTGTGTCTGTATTTGCTTGAAAACTTCATTGTAACTGCATGGAAAACCACATCAGGTCTTTAGAATGTCACCTGTTGCGCTCCATGAGTTTGGAATGACATGAGGATGAGTAAATAATGAGCATTTAGATTTTTTGGATGAACTACTGCTTACAAAGGAAGCATACTGTTCAAAGGTATGATTAGATTTGAAACACTGCAAGATTTGCCAATGCAGAAGTAATATCCTTAGCTCGGTGCTTATTAGTATTTGATTTGTTAATGGCAGGAATAATGCCACTAACATAATGGGTTTCCTTTCTTTTGGAGGGAAAAGCACTTACACTTGAATGAGTCATTTTTGTAAGTAAGATCTGGCTCTAAAGGAGGCATCTGGAAGTGATTTTTTTTCCTGCCATATGTCTATTCTAGAGACATTTTGTTACACCTTTACTTAGTGATTATTTTGCCTTATGTCTGTTCTAGAGACATGTTACAGCTTCTTGATAAAGCTCTAATTGGTTTTCTTTTGGAAATATGTTTCAAATTCACACTGAATGCATTTATGACTGTAAAGCATGTCTGTGTGTGTCAAAATCGTGATTAAAATCGAAATTGCAAAATTGATCAAAGAAATCGCAATAGGTTTTTTTTGTCCATATCCCACAGCCCTAGTCACCTGTTAACATGTGGTACAATTACCGCACACAACCCTCTCTAAACTATGTGTATTTACAATTTATATGCTTGTGTGGGTAAATCACCCATGAAACAAAAATTTGATTAACTGCAAAAGAAAATAGTAACCTTTATATGAGATCTTAGGAAACCAGGGCCATGAAGTCATCATATTGATGTATGTGTGTGTGTGTGTGTGTGTGTGTGTCACTCAACCGCTATCAGACGGGTCTTGTCGTAGTCTCTGCGGTGCTGGTAAATACACTGGCTGAGCACTGAGTAAACTCGCTCCAGATGATCCACACTGAAGCCGTCACTTTTCACAACCACCTTCTCCAACAGAGCCTGAAACACAGGAAAATAAAACATGATTAGACATTTCTGTCATCATTTACTTGATGTCATTCCAAACGTGTGTGGCGGAAATTTTGATGACTGTTTTTAAAGCTCTTTTCCATCCAATTACAATGAACAGAGTGAAGCTTTCAAACCTCAAAAACAACACAAAATCATCATGAAAGAAGTTTATATGACTCATGAGCTTATTTCAAGTCATCTGAAGTCGTATGACAGCTTTGTGTGAGGAAAAGACTCAATTGAGTTTATAAGAGAAGTTCATGAAAGAACCTTTTGAATATTTTCAATGAATCATTTGATTAGGTTCATAAAACCAGTGATTCATTTGAATCGGACTGATCTGGTTCTTTAGTTCAACTCTGATTCCATTCCTTCGTAGCAGCTAACAACAAAAATTATCAGTGGAAAACAACTTAATTTTTAATCTGCTTCTCACACAAAGCTACAGTAGTTGTTTATGAACAATTTTAATAGTGCTTTTGTGTCTGTTTTTGCTTGAAAACTTCATTGTAACTGCATGGAAAACCACATCAAGTCTTTAGAATGTTGTCTGTTGAGCTCCACGAGTTTGGAACAATATGAGGATGAGTAAATAATAACCACTTTGATTTTTGGATGAACTACTCCTTACAAAGGAAACATACTGTACAAAGGTACGGTTAGATTTGAAACATACTGCCAGATTTGACAATGCAGAAGTGATATTCTTAGCTCGGTGCTTATTAGTATTTGATTTGTTAATGGCAGGAATAATGGCACTCACATAATGGGTTTCTTTTTTTTTTTGGAGAGAAAAGCTCTTACACTTGAATAAGTCATTTTTGTTCAAGTAAGATCTGGCTCTAAAGCAGGCATCTGGAAGTGAGGTAATGAATGAATCACATATAATCCTCAAATACACACGCATCAAGCATTTTTGTAAGGTTCACGCTGACATACGAGCAGCAGAGTCTGTCTCTCGTTCTGATTTTCGTGGCGAAGTTTGACCTGCACCTGCTAACAAATAACATTTCAGCCAAGCATTAAAGCCGCTGATGAGCGTGCGTCCTGCGGTTTGCTGCCCTGCTGGAAAATGACTGTGTCGTCTGGAACAGTCTTGAAGAGGCTTAATTTGAAGTTGAAGTTTAATGATATTGTTTTAGTTTCCAGAGACCGCGCTACAAACACGCAGTGAAGGAGATGAGAGCTGACAGCTAATGCAGTGTGGAGGGAAACTCACAGGTGCCAAATCCAGCTCATCACAGCAAACAACTCGGCCTCCTAAGAATAAAACCATGCTTAATCCGGTTCTCCAGAAAATACTATCATTTCAATTATTTCCAGACCCTTTAGGTATGTAGAATTACAACAACTGTCTGAATGGATAACATAAAAGCATTTGTAAATGTTTTAATTCTGATTTTCCACTAACAAATTAGTTTGTGATTACTGGACAATTAATAGTCATTTTATAAACACCAAAATAGCAATTCCTGGCTTGTAAAATAATTTAGAATTAAATTATATTTACTATAAAAATATATACATTTTCCAAAATGATATACTGTACGTTAGAAGATACGAGAAAACCCTTTTTAAATATTAAATATCTATATGATATCTATTTAAAATATATGCTAGGAAAATATATATATATAGTTAATTCAGTGAAAAACAGTGGTAAAATTGAATTATAGAATTTTACTTCTTACATTAAACAGAAACCTCTTACATTTTATATTTTGAATCCATTTGAATACAGTGGCTGTGAGGTTTATTCTTACTGGGGGAAAAAAAAAAAATATATATATATATATATTGTTTTCTCAAGGCTGAAAAAAAACAACAACTATCAACCAGCCCTACTTATACGCTATTCGCTCAACTTTCAGGACCTTAACTGATTGAAAAGAGTTATGGAAATGTTTGAAATGACAGTAGCACTGCACTACTGCCATTTTCATAAGAAATGGAAAAGATTCAGAACAGAAAATAGACTTGTTGCCGTGTTAAATATACACATGAGAATTGAGCGTGCACACATACACAGAAAAAGTGGAAAAATAAATGAACATTAACCGAGAGGGTAACCTCCAGAAGATAGTTTGAACAGACGCACACCTGCAAACGAAACAACTGTGACAACACTGAGCTCCCAACACGTACACCCAGGAAGGGAGGTCAGCCATCTTCAAAAGCAATTAAGATCACCGCGACAGCTAATTAAGCCACATCATAATTACCTTCATTTCATGCGCAGCTCAAGAATGCGAGTATTTACTGTTTGCGCTGGGTTTAATTAAAATGCCTCAGACTTCACAGTGGCTTTTCAATTGACATGTTCATCACAACGATCCTCCGGCCAATCGTGAGCTCATCAAGTCGCGCTGGGACAAGTTATTACTCGGACTGCACTGGTCTGAATCAACATAAACAGTGCTGCTTTCTGATAAGGTTGGAGCCAGAAAGAACAAAGCACAAGGAGTGAGCCCAGATTAACAATGGACGGCACTAATTGAGGACTAGGGTTTGGTTTTGGGGAGACATTTAATGAGAAAACGCATCCCCTGCGGACAGGTTTGAAACCCTATCATTGCAGCACGATGGCAGCCCCTGAACCAATGAAAACAACCAAACGTGTTCATTAAAAACCACTGGAGGACATTGAAGGTAAATATCAGTATACTGAAGAGCACAACTAAGAAACAACTAAAGTTGGTAATATACAGATGATAGTGACTTTATTAGTTAGATAATCATGTATAATTGGTAGGGATCCATTGAATGTTCGGTAACCGAAATAATTTGGCTAAAAATAGCAAAAAAAGCTCTTTCGGTGTTCGAATAAATTGTACCGAACAATGACGTGAAGTGATCAAATAACAACCAACGTAGAGTGAGAGGTGATTTATAATGCAGCAAACATGTCGACAGTGTGGAAGCATTTAAGTGTCAGAGAAAGACACAAAATCGACAGCGAGAGGCTATTTAGTACTACATCACATGTCTTCGATGAGAAGAGGAAGTGGTGGTTGCTGGTTACTGTTACCACGAGCTTGCGGCGCTATCTGCTTGTTAGCCAGGGTTCAAAGTCCAAAGCGTGAGGAAAATCTGCACTGAAACGGTTACTCGTCAGTTGCTCAGTAACATTATGAATTTTTACAAGGCATGTGACAATGCGATACGTGCGACCAACATCTTCCCAAATTCGTAATGAGAATCATTTATAAATCTGTTGTTGTCAACAAAAAACAGCACTGAGGTCTTCGCCAAAATAAAAGCTGGAACTCCATCAACATTCATAAATGTTAGTATTGTAATTTTACAGTTTTTCTATAAAATAACATAAAAAGAAAGACAATAATAATGATAATAATAATAATTACAACAGCTCTATTAATACATTTATTATAGCATTCACACAGTGTTCAAATTGGGATCTGTAATATTTTCTAATTTTTTTTAAAAAGTCGCTTCTGCTCAGCAAGGCTGCATTTTTGTACAGTACAAAAATACATGCCTGATTCAAGAAGGGGGTCTCAAAAATATTCTTCTTCTAACTTATTAATTTTAAGTTAAATTGTGCTTTGTTGGTATAATGTCTGCTGGAATGTTAAAAAATGTTCAGTGTTAAATAAATACTTTTAAATTGTTGTTTTGTAATTGATCTTCTCTTTGAAACGCAAGACAAAATAGTAAAAAGCACATTGGCAGTGGTGAGAAAAAATGTGAAAAAACCGGTTCAGTATTCGGCCTTCGACCCAGTGTTTCATTTTGTTCAGTTTCGGCTTTGGACAAGAATTTTCATTTCGGTGCATCCATAATAATTGGCTGAAATGGACAGAAGTGTCAGTTCCAAACTCAAAACTTTTAAAAATGGAGTCAATAGTGCAGAATAAATGTTCATGCAATTGTGTCCTTAGCAGTGTTAATTTTGACAGCAAATTTTGATTTAGTTTTAGTCTTTTGACTAAAATGCCATTTAGTTTTAGTCATATTTTAGTCATCTGAATTGTTTTTAGTTTTAGTCGACTAAATATCATACGATTTTAGTTGACTAAATCTACAGTAAATTTAGTCGGCTAAAATAGAATGGGTTTAATTACAGTGTAATGCATTTATTAAGCATTTCTCTAAAATTTCCAAACTCATTATATAGGTTTGATATTAAGGTTTTATCATGATAGACACCGATTAAACTGCGGTGACACACAACGTGCCTTTATGTTAAAATTAAATAAAACCACTTCTCATAAAGAACAAGAACATGGTCTTCTTTTTAATGAAATACCAATGGTTATATAGGCTAATTATGCATTCTTTATAGCAACTTGTTTACCATATTCTTCATTCTTTCAAGCAGACATATATATTTAAATAAATAAATTTAGATTAATCTTTAGGGCAACTAAAGTTTTTCAGTCAAGAGCAGTGAGTGACTTTCTGTCCTTCTGTTGTTGCTTGATTAATAGTTTTAGTCGACTAAATCTACAGTAAATTTAGTCGGCTAAAATAGAATGGGTTTAATTACAGTGTAATGCATTTATTAAGCATTTCTCTAAAATTTCCAAACTCATTATATAGGTTTGATATTAAGGTTTTATCGTGATAGATACTGATTTAACTGCGGTGACACACAACATGCCTTTATGTTATAGCATAAAGCATGCATTCTTTATAGCAACTTGTTTACCATATTCTTCATTCTTTCAAGCAGACATATTTATTTCTATAAATAAATTTAAATTAATCTTTAGGGTTACTAAAGTTTTTCAGTCAAGAGCAGTGAGTGATTTTCTGTCTTTCTGTTGTTGCTTGATTAACATCAATGACTCGAACAATAGCAACTATATTTGGCAGCTATCACTTTAAAACCGAATGCACAGCTGCAATGGATGGAATGTACTGATACACATTCTCCCTACCGTTTACGTTCACTTAAGACGTAATCAACTGTGTTTACGTGAATACTCGTCAAAACGGACAATTCGACGTGAATACTCGTCAAA